TAATTATTAATTAGATTAATAAATGATTTATTTATTTTGGTTTGTTATTAAATGATATTTAATTATTTATTTTGTAATCTATTTATTGGAATGGAATCCATGATTATTGGAATGAAATTCATGAAGGGTTCATGTTGAGTACATTAGATATTTTAAATGAGACTTTAGATAATGACGAATGAATAATGTTAGACAGAGATGAGAATAGTTGTGTTATTTAAATATATGATGAACTTTGACTAATGATTGAAATGAGCGATTGTTAGAGTTGCACCTGACTGTGTGGTTGATGCACATAATAGTGGAAGATAGGTCCACTTATTGTACCTAGTAAAACTTGAGACTATCGATCGTATGATACGAGATAGGGACTTCTTTTGGTTTTATGTGCGAAAAGGGGTGCTCAAGTATTGAACCTTATTTGTTTGGGGTGTTGGTGTTTGCTTTGTTCTTGTGTGGTAGAAAACATGTTCCTTAGCTAGGATGACAGGACTAGTCGAGCAGACCTATAGGGGAGGCTATGGGTTTTTGAGGTAGGGTATAAGAGTGTGACTGATTTCTTTCACTGTGGAGTTCATGGTATTATGGGGGCTGATGGTGTTATTCATGATGAGGTTAATTCTGATGGAGGTACATGTGATGATGATTCGTAGTGATGTTGTGTTTGGAGATGATGTTGATAAGGATGACGTTGATGGTATAATCATGATATAGTTAACAAGAATGTTGATGATGATCATGGTGTATAAATAATTCTGCTAGTAGGATAACGCTGTAGATGATTGATTTGTTATTAAGTTGTGTTTGTTTCTTATTTAAAAATTTTCTTGTTATTGGTTGTGCTATGGTAGCTTACCCATATTTGTTTGTGTTAGTGGTTATATGTGTCTTGCGATGATCGTATAACTTTTGGTTATATGAGAGCAGTGTTGCAAATGCTCCAAATAGAGCTGTCAAAATGAGTAACCTAGCTTGACCTACCACAGGTTGGTGGGTTAAACGGGTTGGTTCACTGGCTTATTTAATTATAACTTTTCTTTTTAAAATAAAAAAAAATAATTTTTTTAAATTGAAATCTAAATAAATATCACTCTAAAACGATGTTAAACTCCAAAGACAATTCAAAATAAAAAAAAAGTATCATACAATCCAAGCATAATCCAAAAACATGTACAAAAGGCGAACAAATAAGTTTTTAATGTTGTTAATTGTTGTCTCACTTATCCATTTATAATATTAGAGTCATAAATAGATAAATCTAAAATATTTTTCTCTCTTGTGACATCTTCTTCTTTATCACTATCTCCAATATAATAAAAAAATGCTAACTAATAATATTGAAACAGAAAATAATAAATAATTAAATTAAATTAAGTGGGTTGATGAGCCAACTCGACTCATCACGAGTTCAACCCGCTGAGCCAGATTCTAAGTGAGCTAGGTTGAAAGCTAGCCGCATAAAAAATTACATTTTTTTCAAACTCAACTTGGCTCAAACCCGTGGTGAGTCGGGTTGGCTCACGAGTTACAACTCATTTTGACAGCACTAGCTCTAAATGCATAATAGAGATGCGAGAGTGAGGGAAATGCAGATTACTCATATGTGATCTCCTAGAAACTTTCTGATCGTCAAACAAATGATTGAGGAGTCAAATATCTTAGAGAGAAGTGAGAAGAAACTAAGAGGAAAAGTTTTAGAGAGATGATTTGTGTTGTAAGTAAAAAGATGAGTTTAAGAATTTCTACTTATATTATTGAATTATTTTAACTTTAAAACACTTCGCTCATTATTTTAAAACACCTATAACCTTTAATAATTTTTTTTTAGGTTCTTACAAAATAGTATTTCTTAATCAATATTCAATATTTAATATTTGAAGTAGTATCATAATTAGAGCAATAAGGTTGTGTTAATTTCTAGTGATTTACTATTGGAAGGGATTTGCAGAGATGGATTTGCTGGTAATTCTGGTGTTCATAGAGGTAATGAAGGAATGGGATTGCGAGATTAGCTTCTCTTGCTATCGTCCTTGGGACGAGGAAATTTGTAGGTGAGAAATGGTATTTTACAATACTGTCCTTAATTTTTCATCACTTGCAGTGAAAGAGAGAGTGTGCTATTTGAAACTTCAATGGCAAATGAAATGATTCGGGGATGTTGGAATTGGTTTTTGGATGCTGAAATTAGCTCTTCAAGTGGAAAACACTACATGGAATCAATTCCATTAATATATACATAAGTATATCACCTATGAGGAAATTGTTTTTTTTATTGGTTTATATATATATATATATATATATATATATATATATATATATATTTATAATTATTTTTTGTGGGGTGAAGTTTAAAAAGAAAATAATTTTACTTTACTTAATTTTTTTATTTTTTATTAATCTTTATGTTTTTTAATACTTAAAATTTATTTTATCAATAAATATATTATTAATAAATATAATTTTATATTACTTTTACTATTAAGGACATTTTAGTAATTTTTAATTTTTATCAATTAGTACATTTTTTTATCTATCACATTGGTCAAATCCTACCCAAATTGTCACAAATTTTATTTCTAAATTCACTCCTAATCACCTCTAAATCCATTCAAAAAACAACATATAATTTATTTTCAAATCCATTCAATTGTTCTTCCTTGAATCATGACCCTCAAGTGAAAAAAATTTAATATTTGTTGAAAACGTCTTTTCACAAAACAATATTTTACATTTTATCATTGCTTCATTACTTTTCATTAAATGATAAATTAATATTGATGTTGTACGAACAATGATAATGAATCGAAGCTTCAACTTTAATTTAATTTATAGTTCAGATTCTCATTTTCTATATTGTGTTATTTTTTCTCCATTAAGGAGTCTCGATATTGTTGAAAAGATTGAGTTGTAAGTGATTTTCTAGATGAATTACATTCATTTATAAAAATGAGTAAAATTAATATATGCTTAAGGTTTAATTTATTTAATTATATTAATTATATCAATACCCGAGTTGCAAGAATAAAAAAGATTATGGAAAGTAATATAAAGAAAAAACATGTACATAAATACTTTTTATTCATCAAGATGTTTTCCTTATTATTGAGTAGAATTTTTATTTTTTTCTAATAATTTTTCTTGTTATAAATTATAATATTTATTTACACTTTTGTATGCAAATATTCATCTCATTGTTCACATTATCAGCGACACCTGAAAAACATGTAAAATTAATGGTATAAAAGAGCAAATAAATTTTAAAAATCAAGAGAAAAATATAGTGAAATAAAACATCGAAAAACAATATAAAAACATGAAAGAAGAAAATATGTAATAATACGTACCATCGTTGATGGCGTTAGACTTTATTAAGTGACAATCACTTATACAATTATAAAAGGGATCATTGGATAATTGGCTACAGTGTGACGACTCACAATGACCCATACATCTGGAAAACAACTCTTGAGAAACTCCTGCAAAAAAACATCGAATTCTACACTTGATATCGCATAAAAGACCATGACTTAATACGGGTTGTGCAAAATTTAACAAAATCATAATCGTAATCATGACTCCAATACATTTCATCTCAATTTTCCCCATAATTCTTTTCTAAGTTATCTTTAAGATTATGAAATTGTGCAAAAGGTGAATTTCACTTGTGGTGTTTCATGAAGGCTAAACATCAATTTATAGAAAAATAATTGATATACATTTTTACCCTTGAAAATATTTAGTAATAAAAAATATTAATAATTTACTTATTATTTTCTGTTATAATTAATATAGATAATTAATGTAACGTTTTGACTTTGTATCTTATTTAAAACAATATTTAAGTGATAGTTGACTTATTAAAAGGTATTAAATGAAAAAAAAGAGATTATACCAAAGAAAAAGGAACAAAACGAGAGAAAATTGGGAAGAATATAGAATCCCATGGAGTTACCTAACTTGAGTGAGAATATAGTTAGATGGTTATCTACTATTATTTTTAAGATATTCAAACATGATTAACATATCTCATAGTTTCATATGAAGAGTTCCATTAGGAAGTATAACACACAATCATTTTTTCATACTTTCACTTATACTGTAAATAAACCTTTAAGTTTCTACTTACTTAAGCATCATAAAGTTTTTTGTAATTGGATTTTTTTTCTGCCTGGACCGACATTTATTGCAAAGGTATCTCAAGATTCCATCACATGTCTTATAAACTCAAAATTTATAACTGATAAAAACATTTGGAATCCATCGTGGGACAACAGTAAAGCAACCATCAAGATGCCACTCTAGAAGTCCTAGCCCAACTCGTGGCCATTCGGGATGGGATAGATCTCTAGGCTTTGCCTGAATTCACAACCCGTAGAGACATTCACCTTATTGCCGAAAGAAATGAAAAACTTCACGGGTACATAAGTCTAACGTGAACTTCCAGGACATAAGGGTACAACTGTGACTTTCCAAGGATAAACACTTCTATCCTTTTACTTCAAATACTACACGAGCTAACCTTGATTTTTTTTAGTTTGTATAGTGAAGTTTCAAGAGAATTTGATTTTGTGTTATGGTTTGTCAAAGCGGCGTAGCGAAATGGTTAACGCACTCAACAAAACCAAGAGGGGTGATGAATTGGTTTCTTATCTCAAATCGTTCTTTTAATAATTTTCTCACGTAAATATAAAATTCCTTGAAACATTTTAAAGAAATTAAAGAGTAAGAAAGAGAGAAAATTGCACAGGTAAATTTTATCCTGGTTCGGATCAAACAGATCATACGTCTAGTTGTTAATCTCAACTGAGAATTAACGCTTCACTAACACAAACCAACAAACTGTTACAATCACAGAAAAAATAGTTTAAGGTTAGAACACCTCTCTTGTTACCCCAATAGATGAAACTCACTTCCGCTGTGACCCACAAAGGATGAACACCTCCTCTGAATCTTCACAAGTGATGAACCCCTTCTTATAGAGTTGCCAAAAATTCCGAGTCTCACTCATCATTAAACAACCCCTTGTCATTTGGGTTTCTGTGGCTATGTGCACTACCATATGTTTCTAAATCACAGTTTTCTTCATTTACATTAACTTCTACTAACACAGACCCTTCTATATTGTTATCTACTAGTTCATCAATATGTACATCAACATCCATTAGTCCTTCATCCACTTGTCCTTCATCAACTACTCCTTCACGAACTTCACCATGAACCTCTCTACATCATCATCCTCACTTAAAGTAAAATCTTCAATCACTACTTCTTCCTCCCTTGCACGTGTTGTTCATCCGTGTCCTTCCCCTCTACTTCCTCCTCCCATGCACCTGTTGTTCATCCATGTCCTCCACCTCTACTTCCTCCTCCCATGCACCTGCTTTTCATCCATGTCCTCCACCTCTACTTCCTCATCCCCATGCAACTACACATCATCCATATCCTATACATTCAGTTCATCCAAAGCCTGCACCTGCACTTCATCATCCAAACCCTACACCTCCCCTTGATCAAAACCTTGCACCTCTAGTTCATCCTCATCCCCACCTACATGGCTACCTTCTCCACTCTCTAAACTTGCATGATAGAGCAAAAGAACTTCTTTTTTTAATTAATTTTCAACAACCTCTGGCTCATCATCCACATCGTGGACCACAAAAGTGAACTTCCCCAAAATACTTGGCAATGTTTACCATGTTCATTGCATCTCTATCATCATACAACTTATGCAGAATATTTTCAATGCAATAAAATAACTTAGTGACTTTAATATACCCCAAATCCTTAATGACATCTAACACTTCGAAATAATTCCATTTGTCAGGGTCCACGCTCCAATAAGTCACTTCCCCACCAACATATTTAAAAAGAATATTCATTACCAAGGTCCCAATATGGTGGACCACAACATTAAACCTCGTGTCACACATCCCAAATGCAAGCCTACAAAATGAACTTTATGGGCATGATACCACTATGTAAACGCTAAAAGTAACTACTAAAAAGGTATGGGAAAGCAAAACCAAAAACACAAAACCGACAATCACCCACACACAACTAATTATAATATGTTATAGACTAATGCCTTAAACATTTTACACAGATGTTCAACAAAATCTAACTTTGGCAAAATCTAGCAATCACAATCAAAACATTTTCCACATTTTACACAATTGTTCAAGAAAATGTTACAGACCAATGCGACAAAGCATAGATTAGGAACATAAACCTGACATTGCCAAAGATCAATGCTTCCAATTTCAAATGCACATCATTGATGTTCTTCCCAATCTTGCAGATTTCCCTACCAAACCACGATCAAACCTTCAGACCTCAATACCCTTAATTTAATTTTGAAAAGAAAAAACCTAATATCAGAAATACACACCCAAAAATCATAAATCCACCTCAGCCTATAAGTGTCCATGTCAGCAATTAAATGACATGTCATTCACTGATTGAACAATTGGACATTTGGCGGTTAATGATTTATACGACATTTACAAAAATGACTAAATTGAACAAAAATTACGATCTTTAAGTACATTGAAAATTTTAAGAAAATTAGGACCATTTCGAAAAAAGTTGACAAAAATTGGGACCAACCATGGTATTAAGCCAAAAAAAAATATGAAAATAGATTTATTTCCACTAATAAAACATGAAAATACAAAAGAGTAGGAATATTTATTTTCTCTAATAATGTTTCATCAATTATTGTTGCTATAAATTGTATTATCTATTTACACTTTTGTATGCAAGTATTCATCTCATTGTTCACTAGATCAAGAACACCTGGTAAGCATGTAAAAGTAATGGTCAAAATCATAAATAAGAAAATAAATTATAAAAATCATGAGAAAAAAAATAGTGAAATAACACAGGGAAAAATAATAAAAACAATGAAAGAAGAAAATATTTAAAAATACATACCATTGTTAATGGCAACAGACTTTATTAAGTGACAATTACTAATACAATTATGAAAAGTATGATCGGATAATTTGCTACAGCGTGACTCATAATGATTGACACAATTCTCAAACATTTCTTGAGTAAATCCATGAAACACACATTGGGCTCTACACTTCACAATGCAAAAAAGACCATGACTTAATATAGGTTGTGCAAAGTTTAATAAAATCATAATCGTAATCATAAAACCAATACATTTTATCTCAATTTTCCCCATAACTCTTTTCTAAATTCTCTCTAAGAATGAAATTGCACAAAAGTTGAATCTCACTTGTGGTGTTTCATCAAAACTAAACATGAATTTATAGAAAAACAATTTATGTACATTTTTACCCTTGAAAATATTTAGCAATAAAAAAATATTAATTATTTTCTCTTATAATTAATATATATTAATGTAACGTTTTGACTTTGTATCTTATTTAAAACAATATTTAAATAATAATTGACTTACTAAAATGTATTAAATGAAAAAGATAGATTATACCAAAGAAAAAGAACAAAAGTTGAGAAAATCAGGAAGAACATAAAACACCACAAATTAAATGAAGAACAACTCATCGTGGAACAACGGTGAACCAGTCAGGGTGTTGCTCTCTCCACCACCACCCCTTGCTCCCTCCACCTCCCCAACCCTCTATAAAAAAATTTTAATTACAAAAGTAACTTTTTTTAACTTTTAACGCTATTTATTTATTTTATTCTAAAACCCTAAATTCTTACCTATTTTTACTCACCCATTTTCACTCGCGCAGCCCCACCCCCGACTCTCCCAAGACTCACTTTCTCTCTTTCCAGATTCTCACCCCCTCCAACTCTCACTGGATAAGTTTCTTCTCATCTCCCAACTCTTACTTCTCTTCTCCATATCTGTTTGGTTCTTCTTTATATTCCTGTCTCCATATCCATTTGGTTTTGTGGTGCGGCGATGCGGGGTGTTTGCGGTGGTCATTCGACGGTGCAGTGGTTCCAAATGATAATGAATATTTTATGACTAACATCATAAAAAAAATAATTTTATTGACATTGATAAAAAAAATTCTAAATGACATCAATGGAAACATATATCATTAATGTTGGTAAAAAAAATGATTGAAAAATAAATATGAAAATTAACCACAATCGATTGTTAACATGAGTGAAATATTCATTATTGTTAGTAAAATGTGTTAAAATATTTGTACCTCAATTTCAAAACGATAACGGAATAAAAAAATTAAAAATGTATACATGAATTAATTTACAAAATTTCAAAATTCTTACTATTTAATTATAATTTAAAATTTTCTAAATTTAAATAATCAAATTCCTCTCTTAAAGTTTTAAAATTTCAGTATTTTAATTTTTTATTTAAATGATCATATAAAATGTTTCAACCTTTTTATAAAATTAATTATCTTCCACAATATTTTTTCTGACACATTGCGACATATATTTCTTCCTCATGTATCAACATTTTTTTTATGTGAGATTGTTTAACTCTTCGTACGTTGGTGAGGGTAAGATAAACAATCAGAAAGTTCAAAAGATACAACAATGAAAAAAAGCATAAAAAACAGAGAGAGATAGAAGAAAATGAAACATAGAAACATAGTCCACCATTAAAATGATTGTGTTGTTTGGGTGATGAGATCGAAGAGAGAAAAAAACATCATAACTATCAATAACAAATGCTTGTTGGTTAAGCATAAACCAGACCAGCACATTCATGTAGAGGATTAGAGTGAGTAAAAATTAAAAAATATTAATCTTAAAATAAAATTGTACTGAAGGGTAAAACAAGAATAAGAAGATGGAGGGAGGGATAAAACAGGAATGGGGAGGTGGAGGGAGCAAGAGGTGGTGGTGGAGGTAGCAACACCCAAACAATCATCAAGACACCACTTTAGAAGTCCTGGCCCAACTCATGGCTAATGGAGATGGGACAAATCTCAAGGCTATGCTTGAATTCACAGTGGAGACATTCACCTCATCGCCGAAACAAATCTAAAGCATATATTTTGTCATATAAATATTTTCCAAGTTTTTAATTGATAAATTAGTATTTTTAATTAGATAAATTAAAAATTACTCTATTATACTAATATTTATAACTTAATTTGTAAGTATTAATGATTTAAAGATAATAGTATTGGATATTTATATTTTTACAAAAATATAATATAGAAAATTTAAACTTTTTAATTATTTTAATACTGATTTTTAAATTAAAAAAATGAAAAAAAAGGGTCTTTTAGGAACAGGTTGATCTTTGACCCGCCAATTTTGCAGGCTAGGTGGGGTGAGACAAAACAAACTAACAGGTTGAAATTTTTAATCTAGCCTGTCCTGTTTTGGTGGATTGGTGGGCTGACTCACAGGTCACAACTCACTTTGTCATCCCTAAGTAAAAGTTAAGGGAAAATTTTGGAATAAAAATATTATCTTTACTAATGTTTACGAATTGTAAATTTTGGAAATTTTTAATATGTAAATTAGATGAATGTATAACTTTTAAGAGTTTGTAAATGTTCTAGCTAAAATATATGATATATAGAGATTTTTTTTGGAAGAATGGATATTGATAAGTCTCATTGATTTTGATTTGTGTCATGTGAGGTAATAATAAAATCGGAGAGCAATGCTTTTAAAACTTGTCCGTCAAATAAATATTTCTCTCAATTGATCACCTGTCATATAAACTACGTTATTATGAAGAGTAAATGGAAAATTCGTGCATAATATTTCTTAGGCAAGAAAACCTCACCATGTTTTCCTAAGTTAATTTTGTTTAAATACTTTAAATGTTTTATACTTATAATTACTAAAATTAATTATGTTGTATGAAGAATGATAACAAATCGAAGCTTCAAATTTAATTTAATTTATAGTTAGGGTTCTCGTTATCTATATTGTGTTTTTTTCTCTCAGTAGAGAGTCTGAAGATAGTTGAAATGACTAGTGTTGTAAGAAATTTTCTAATGCTTAAGTTTTAATTTATTTAATTATATTAATAACTTGCAAGAATAAAAATGATTATATGGAAAGTAATTGAAAGAAAAAAACAAGACAATAAATAACAAATGCTTTTTTATTGATCAAGATATATTTCTTATTAGGAATATTATTTTTTCTAACAATTTTTTCTTGCTAGAAATTATAATAGTTTTTTACATTTTTGTACGCAAGTATTCATCTCATTGTACACCTTAAGAGCACCTAGAAAACATGTAAAATTAATGGTCAAAATCATAAACAAGCAAATAAATTATAAAAATCATGAGAAGAAAAAACAGTGAAATAAAACATTGAAAAACAATATAAAACCATGATAGAAAAACACATTTAAGAATACGTACCGTTGTTGATGGCGTTAAACTTCATTAAGTGACAATCACTTATACAATTATAAAAAGGATGGTTGGATAATTGGCTACAACGTGACTTACAATCATTGACACATGTGTCAAA